CTCCTCCTCCTCCTCCTCCCCGATAGCGAATCCACAAGTCCTCCTCCGCCTCCTCCTCCTGATGCCCCCTTCTCCTGCCACTTCCTCCGCTCCTCCGCCCCCTTCTCCTCCCTCCTCCCTCTCCCCCTCCGCCCCCTCCCCCTCCCTCTGCCCCCCCCCTCTCCTCTTCCTCCGCCCCGTCCTCTGCTCCCTGCCCATCCTCCCTCCCCCCTCCCTCGGGTGCACCGGCGTGCCTACAAGATCGCGGAGTTCGGCATCCGGAGAGACGCCGAGGCGGCTTGCGGGTGCGCGGGGCGCAGCCGCCTCTGCGACGTGAAGCGGCACCCTGGGGGGGGGGGTATGATGCAACGTAAGCCGAGTGAGTGCAGCATGGAAGAGGAGGGGGCAAGGAAGCGGAGGCGGGGCGGGGAGGGAGGGAGGAGATGGACGGGGAGGAGCAGGAGGAGGAGGAGGAGGAGGAGGAGGAGGAGGAGGAGGAGGAGGAGGAGGGTGAGGGCGAGGGTGAGGAGGAGGAGGAGGTGGAGGTGGAAGGGGATGAGGGAGAAGTCAAATATATGATATTGTTGTTGATGATGATGACGCTGATGATGATGGTGGTGATGGTGATGATGATGCTGATGATAGTGATGATGCTGATGATGATGCTGATGCTGATGCTGATGTTGATGCTGCTGATGAGCATGATGAAGAAGAAGAAGATGATGACGCTGATGATGGTGACGATGCTGATTCGTATGATGATGCTGATGACGATGATGATGCTGATGATGCCGATGCTGATGTTGATGCTGATGTTGATGCTGATGCTGCTGCTGATGATGATGCCGATGCTGTTGATGATGATGCTGATGATGATGCTGATGCTGCTGTTGATGATGCGGATGATGAAGATGATGTTGCTGATGATGATGCTGAGTATGATAGTGTTGGTGATGATGATGATGATGATGATGATGATGATGATGATGATGATGATGATGATGATGATGATGCTGATGATGATGATGATGCTGATGCTGATGACGATGCTTACTAGTAGGATGATGATGCTGATGATGCTGCTGCTGCTGCTGCTGATGATGATGATGATGATGATGATGATGATGATGATGCTGATGATGATGATGATGATGATGATGATGATGATGATGATGATGATGATGATGATTTGGGGAGGAGGAGGAGGAGGAGTAGGAGGAGGAGGAGGAGGAGGAGGAGGGGAAGAATGGAGGAGGAGGAATGGCCAGAGGTAGGGGGAGGAGGAGCGGGGGGTGCGAAAGGAGGGGAGGAGGGGGTGGGCGGGAGGACCAGGAGGAGGCTGTAGATGTTTCCATGTTCCCCAGGCCTGAGGGCTTGCACGCTGGGCGCGCGTTCGTGTACGGGCCCCTGTGCTCCTTGTTTTTCTCGCTGGTGCTCGTCCTGGTCGGCCTGGACGTGAAGACCTTTCAGTTCAGGCTGCATCTGGAAGAGTTGCAAGAGGGGAGAGGAGGGAAGAGGAGGAGGAATAGTTACTCAGGAGGCTTACGCGTAGACAGGTGGCCCTCACCCTAGAGCCTCCCTCCCCTACCCAGTCGGTCGAAGTGACCCCGGCCCCACACCCTTTAAACCCGGTCGGACACAACCGAGGGGCGCCCACAGTGTGACCGGACAGCAGAGAAGAACCAGGTCCCGAGGACGAAACAGCACCACCCATGGACAAGCCCAGGGAGCGCAGTCCAGCGACCACTGGGCATCAGCCATTCCTACCGCAGCTTACCGTAGCAGAAAGCAGAAGCGTTGCACTGCATTGCTTTGCATAGCAGTGCATTGCGGTGCACTGCTTTGCATTTCTCTGCCTCGTTGTGCGTTGTTTTGTATTGCTTTGCGTTGCTTTTCGTTGCTTATCGTTGTTTTGCATTGCTTTGCGCACTATAGTTTGCACCACGTACATTGCACCACATTGGGTGTACCACCTAGGTTGCGCCGCATCTATTGCAAGACGTTCACTCTTTTGGGCTCACGCTGGCTAACATACCAAGAATCACAATTACCCCAGTGCGACCCTACCTAGAAGTTGGAGCGCCTAGGAAAGCAGCATTAGTTGCTATGCTATGCCATGCTATGCTATGCCATGCTATGCTGCGCTATGCTATGCTATGCTATGTTATGCTGCGCTATGCTATGCTATGCTATGATAAGCTATGTTATGTCATGCTGCGCTGTGCTCTGCTAAGCTGCGCTATGCTATGCTATGCTATGCTATGCTGCGCTATGCTATGCTAGGCTAGGCTAGGCTAGGCTAGGCTATGCTATGCTATGCTATGCTGCGCTATGCTATGCTATGCTATGCTCGGCTATGGTAAGCTATGCGATGCAATGCTAACGCAGCGCTGCGCGATGCTAAGCTAAGCTAAGCTAAGCTAACCCTCTAGGCAGAGCCTAGATAGGTAGAGCTCGGCATCTGTCGCACATTGCTATTGCTTTGCCTGTCCTTTGCTTTGCTTTTGCTGTTGCTTTGCTTTGCGTTGCGTTGCTTGTGTTTTGCTTTGTTGTCGCTGCTGTTGCTTTGCCTTTGCTTTGCTGCTATGCTATGTTATGCTATGCTGCGCTGTGCTATGCTGTGCTGTGCTGCGCTATGCTATGCTATGCTATGCTATGCTATGCTGCGCTATGCTATGATATGCTGGGCTATGCTATGACATGCTGTGCTGCGCTACGCTACGCTACGCTATGCTATGATGTGCTCTGCTATGCTAAAGCTCAGCGAAGCTAAGATGAAGGTAAGCTAAGATAAACCTGAGCTAAGATGAAACTAAGCTAAGCTAAGATGTAATAAGCCAAGCTGAGATGAGATAAGCAACGCCACGCTAAGGGGACGTAACTGGGGGAACCGCGGGGCGGATGCCGGGGGAACCGCCCGGGGCGGGGTCCACTGCCCGGCCCTTTAAGCCAACACAGCAAGAACCCTTCTAGGCAGAGCCTAGGTAGGGAATAACAAGAACACGAATGATAAACATTGGGAGGGAGGGATGGAGGGAGGCAGGGAGGGAGAGAGGAGGGGTGCAGAAAGGAAGCATGACCGAGGATGAGTGATGAATGGGGAGGGAGGAAGGACGGAACATGTAACATGATGAAGCGGAGGCAGAAAGATGAGCAGGAGGAGGTGGAAAGGGGAGGGGTGGAGGACAACTACAAGAAGAGGAGGAGGAGGAGGAGGAGGATCGTGCGGATCGTGCCGATCGAACCGGTTCGTGAAAGCCCAATCGATTCGCGCAAGGGGAGCTCTGGCCTCTTCGGGCCGGCCCCGAGCCGTGCCAAAACTCCAGGATGGCCCCCAAAGGGTCTGCTTGGCGGTGGAGTGCAAGCAACCCTTCCCACATACGATTTAGCCGAATTAGCCCCGATCACCTGTGGGGCCCCGGGGCGATATGGGGAGAACGGGCCCGACCGCCTGTCGCGGGCGCACTTGGCACAGCCACGGCAGAAAACAACAAAAAGTTGTGGCGGAACGCCCGTCTGTGCCCCGCTCCCCGCGCTCGGTCGACCCTGACCCCCCCCCAGTCCAGAACGGCCCGAGACAGAGGAGAAGGAGGAGGAGGAGGAGAAGGAGGAGGAGGAGGAAGAGAAGGAAGAGATGGAAGAGGATGATGATGATGACGAGGGGGAGGAGGAGGAGGAGGAGGAGGAGGAGGAGGAGGAGGAGGAGGAGGAGGAGAGGAGTGCTCCGCTCTCGCGCTCGGTCGACCCCGACTCGCCCCACCCAGTCCGGAACGGCCCCAGGCCAGGGAGTGGAGGCCAGTGGCTAGCTAGGCGGAAGCCTCCAGGGCCACCACCTCCTCTCCTCCTCCTCCTCCTCCTCCCTCCTCCTCCTTCCTCCTTCTCCTCTCTCCTCCTCCTCCTCCTCTCTCCTCCCTCTCCTCCTCCCTCCCTCCTCCTCCTCCTCCTCCTCCTCCTCTCCTCCTCCTCCTCCTCCTCCCTCTCCTCCTCCTCCTCCTCCTCCTTCTCTCTCTCCTCCTCCTCGTCCTCCGCTTCCTCCCCGTCCTCCTCCTCCTCCTCCTCCTCTCCTCTCCTCCTCCCTCCTCCTCCTCCTCCTCCTCCTCCTCCTCTCCCTCCTGCTCCTCCCCCTCCTCCCCCTCCTCCTGCTCCTCCTCCTCCTCCTCCCGGCCGCCTCAGGGTCCCCGGGAGAGCCCAGGAGATCCAGGGCGGGGTCGGTTGGGTTTTGATCCGTCGGTTTCGAGCCCTGTCCAGCGTCGACGATGACTCTAGGCAGGACTCCCACATTGGCACCGAGTTCCAAGATACCCCTAACCGGCCTGAGTTTCTGCAGGTAGGCCTCCCTACTCCAGATGCGGTGGGTGCGGTGCAAGGGCCCCCCTTGCTCAGCGAAGGTATCGGCCACCCTGCTTCCCTCCGACGCCCCGGGAGTGCCCGACGACCGCCAGAACGTGGTCGACGTCGCCGCTCACCAGCGTGAGGATGGGCGACCTGCCCTTGGTGTTGCCCTCCAGCGCCGTCGCCACGCTTGTGCGTGACTCGTTGAGCCTGGAGTCCGCCATGCCGACCACCGAGGAGCCATTGAGGAGCGCGGACACCTGGGTGTGTCTCGCTGGCTTGTGCGCTGGCCCCTCCTGCCTTCCGCACGGCGGCTGTTATCCGTGCCGCTCGCGCTGCAGACTTCAGCGCCCTCTTGCCGATGGCCGCCGCTCGTCTGCGTTTGCCCGCTGCCGCCGCGGCCCTCAGGTGTTCCTCGTGCCTGGCGGCTCTCACGCCCAAGTGCCCGGAGGCAGCTGCGATGCTCTTGCCCAGCGCGGCGGTGGAGGTCGGGGTGTCCGTCTTCCCTTCCCGCGCCCCTCGAGGCGGACATGCCCAGTTGCGCCTCAGGCGTGCGCACCGCGGCCGCGACGAGCAGCGGGTGGCAGTGCTGGACGAGCTCGCGGCTGCCGTGCTAGGCCATGGCGAGGTCGTCGAGGATGAGGCAGGTGCCCGCCTCCGCGGGCACTGGCAGGCCAGCTCATCCAACTCCAGGGTGACCACCATCTTGAGGCAGAGCGGTGCGTGCCTGCTGCCCGCGACGATGCCGCGCTGCCAGGCCTTGCCCTCGGGGTAGCACCCGTCCAGGACGATGTGCCTCACCATGCTCTAGATCCGGAGGGCGGTGCGCATGATGACGGGATTGAAGGCCCACCGCCTTGCTGCCTCCCAGACCTTCCGATGCGTAACCCGCTCGAAGCACTTGACGAGGTCGAAGTAGGTCACCGCGTACTCGTAGCAGTCGGCCCGCGCTGCCTTGCAGCACAGTGCCTGTAGCCATGCTGCGCGCTCCTGATCGCCCTCGGCGAGCCCAGTCATAGGCCCTCTTGTTGGCGGCCTCCCAGCGCCTGGCGTAGGGGATGCGGGTGGTTTCCCAGATGCGCGCCAGCTCGGGGATGAGGCCCAGCTTGCGGACGCCGCCCGCGGGCTTCGGCATCAGGCAGAAGGGGATGGTGGCCCGTGCGGTCGGCCACGGCGTGCCTTTCTCCACAGCGTTCAGCACGCTCGCCACGCGCGCTGCTCCGCGGAAGCTTCCATGTCGCCTTTGGCGCGGGTGCCGGTCAGCCTCCTCCAGCCCCGTGGTGGCTCGAAAGCGCCTGCATGCCTCGATGACATCCTTCGGGATGATCCTCGGGACGGCGTACTCGTTGAGCTCGTAGCCGCTGGGCGCCTGGCACCACGGCGAGCTGTCGTCCTAGGTGTCGGCCCAGACTGTCTCCCAGCCTTCCAGCGCAGAACCCGCGGCCACCTGAGGGTGGAGGAGCTCGTGCTGGTCGTGGGTGTCCGTCGGCTTGAGCGGCTCCCAGAGTACCGGTGGCTTGGTTCACTTGTGGAGGGCTCACGCTCCCGCCTGGCTGTGCTTGGTCAGTGTCGACAGCCTTGTGCTGCACTTTGTCGTATTCGTCGCCATGTGTGGGTACTGGCGATGGTCATGAGCTTGGCTACGCAGCTCAAATAGTGCAAGCCCCTCTCGGTGATGGTGGTGACGTCGATCCAGGCGATGGTGTTCACCAGGTGGGCCCAGTTGACGTCCTGCCACTGCCTCTGCCCCGCCGGTAGGCGGCTCTCTCCTGCCGCTTCCGCCCCAACCGACGGGCAGTCGTGCGCGGCCACTAGGCCGAGGACAGCAGAGGTCCGAGGAGTAATCTCTGGGAGGCTCAGGTTGTCCTCGACTCGGTCCAGGGCGTCGTTCTGCTCGTCCACGTCGGCGGCGTCCGCCACGGCGCCGTCGGTATTGTCGCTGGTGTCGTCGCACTCGTCGGTGTCGAGCCCGTTGTGCGGCCCGTCGCTCCAGGCTGCCGTTCAAGCAGCAACCAGATGATGTCCTTCCCCAGGATGCCCTTGGCGTTGCCGCGCGACCAATAGAGCGTCTCGTACTTGACGTGGTGCCACCAATTGCGCACTGCTGCGGTGATGCGCGTAAGGCGCCGCCCCAGCCACATCGGCCGCCTCCGCCCACGGCTGCTCGCTCGTGGCCTCGGTGACCTTGGGTGGCTTAAGCTGCTCCCGGGTGCAGGCAGGTATCTGCATGTGGCCCCTGCGCTCATGGAGCTCGAGGCCGTCAAAGCTGAACAACCTATTGAGATGCTCCTCGCGTAGTGTCGCAAGGTTGCCCCAGTGGGTGTCGATGTCGTTCTGGCTGCGCCGCTCAGGCGGCAGTGGCCGAGGCCAGGCGGTCGGACCCCGAAGCGCACCCAGTGGGCAGCTGTAGAGGCCATCGTCGTAGCCGCCACAGCACTCGTATCCATCGGTTCTGCGCCGTGGAACTCGGAGCAGGACTGGCGAGTGCGGCGCTGTGCTGTACTGGTCCTGCACTGTGGCCCCTGGCGTGCCGTCTAGCAGGCGCTTGCATATGATAACATATTCCTTGCGGTGCCTCTCCCCCATCGAGGTGCACGATCCACGCGAAGTGTCGCGTACGAGGACCCCGTCCATCCACTTGAGCACTCCATGCTGCTGTATGTCGATCGGGTCCATGTTGAAGTCGCTGCCCAGAAACCGGCACTTCCCCGCTGCCGTAGCCGTTGATGTGAAGCCCCTGAGGATGGCCCTGTTGCGGCCCGTCATGCCCTCGTTGACCCACTGGTCGGTTGTGCCGATGGTGGTGCCCAGCCTGCCGAGGGAGTCGATCCAGCCGATCGCTGGGCGGCCCTTGGGTTCGCGAGGCGAGGTGTCCCACGTGCCGAAGCCCCTGGCGCAGCCCATGGCGAGCGGCGGCACTGTGGCGAGGGGGGCCCCCGCTCGCCGTCCGCCCCCCTCCGTGTACGCACGCTTGGTGAAGTGCCCAAGCGCCAGCATTGCTTCTGCATGCGCTGGGCGAAGCAGGAAAGGGTGAGGAGGAGGAGGAGGAGGAGGAGGAGGAGGAGGAGGAGGAGGAGGAGGAGGAGGATGATGAGGCGGAGGAGAAAGGAGGAGGAGGAGGAGGAGGAGGAGGAGGAGGAGGAGGAGGAGGAAGAGGGGGGGCGGACGAGGAGGGGAGGAGGAGGAGGAGGGAGGAGGAGGAGGAGGAGGAGGAGGAGGAGGAGGAGGAGGAGGGGGAGAAGGAGGAGGAGGACTCCTGCGCCATGGCCACGGGCGCCCTGCACGTGCACACCCGATGTGGTGGAGCACCCTCTCCAACGTGCCAAGAGGAGCTCGCACTCACGGTGGAGAGAGCGCCTGCCCGTCGCACAGGTCGCCGGGAGGACGATGGCGCGGTCCGTGTGCTGGCGGAGGTGCCGAGGCTTGGTTCTGGGCAGCACGCCAGCAAGAGGAGGCACGACCAGAGGCGCACGGCGACCGATCTGGTCCTGGGTGCAGCCCGCGCCCAGCACGATCTCCCTGGCCTGCTCCTCGGCGGCGTCCTGGGGGAAGGGGGGGCCAGCTCCTGCCTGACCTCCTCCTCCTCGGCTCTGCGCCTGTCGCGCTGCCTGCCGTCCTTTGGCGTCCTGGGCTGCCGCGCCTCCTTCTTTTGCCGCCCCTCTCCGCTGCCGCAGCGGCCTCGGCGCGCTCCTCCTCAATGTCGTGCTGGTGCTTGCGCGGCCTCGCAAGCAGTTGGCTGCCTGTTCGAGGAAAGGCCACGGCAGCCCCCCATCCTTGCCCTTGCTGGGGCACGCGGAGCTCGTCGATGCGCGCCTGCAGCTTGGCCACCTTTCTCCTCCGGCGTTTTCAGGAAAGCCGATGTCGTGGCAAGTTTTTCCTGTGCCAGCTTGATGTCCTTCTGCTGCTCGAGCCGCTCCCTGGTGCGGTCCCGCTGGGCGTCGCATTGCTCTGTCTCCCGCACGACCTTGCACTCTGAGAGCATCGTGGGACATCGCTGCCTGCGTCGATTGCCTCCTGCATCTCATCAGCATGCGTCTGATCGGTGACCAGCAGGGCGAGGTCGGGGTCCTCGGCCTGCTTCGCGCTTCTCCCGGATGTGGCCTCCGAGCTCGCGGAGCTCCTCATCGGCGGCGTCCTCTCCTTCTCTCTCTCTCTCTCTCCTCCTCTCTCTCCGTGCTCCGTGGTGCCGCGGCTGTTGGTGCCGTCGCCCCAGGACTCCGCGCCGTCCTCGAGCTTCCAGCACCTCCGGCAGAAGTCGTAGCCCAGGGGTGTACCCAAACGGTGCTCTGGCGATTCCGTGGGCCGTTTTCGTTTCGATGTCGTTTTGCGGTAGAACAGGCGGCTTGTTGACAAAACGAGGGCAGACGAACACGAAACGAAAACGAAACACACCGTTTAGATTCGGCCCTGTCGTAGCTCTCCCCGTTCTGAGGCTCGCGGCTGCCACAGGTCCACCCGCTGTCCGGGCGGGCTCCTGGGGCCATGCCGCCCGCGAGGGCAGCGCCACCTCGAAGTTGGCTCCCGCATTGCCGTGACCCCGCCTCTCTGCAGGCCCGAAGTTGCCCGGAGGAGGAGGAGGAGGAGGAGGAGGAGGAGGAGGAGGAGGAGGAGGAGGAGGAGGAGGAGGAGGAGGAGGAGGAGGAGGAGGAGGAGGAGGAGGAGGAGGAGGAGGAGGAGGAGGAGGAGGGGGAGGAGGAGGAGGAGGAGGAGGAGGAGGAGGAGGAGGAGGAGGAGGAGGAGGAGGAGGAGCAGGGGAGGAGGAGGAGGAGGAGGAGGAGGAGGAGGAGGAGGAGGAGGAGGTCTTCATCCTTCTCCTCTCCCTATTTGTACTCCTGTGCGTCCTCCTCCCCGTCTCCTCAGGAGGAGCAGGAGGAGCGGGGCGGGGTGGGGTGGGGGGGGGAAGGCAGGAGAAAGCCAGAGGCAAGGAGCGGAAGTACAAAGAACTCGAACTTACCAGAAAGAAGAAGCAGGACAAAGTAACGTTGACATAGTCAATCCGCAAAGTAAGTTTGATCGATTTCCCAAGGGAACCCTTGCATCATTGCCTTTTCGATCAACTTCGGTCCTCAACTGCTTTCGATAGGCAGCTCCGCTCGAACAGCCTCGGCATGGGCGTCCAAGGCCCCTGCATCCTTGCCGGGCATCCTCACTATACGGTTTGACTGTAAATTCACGAGGACGAGGGAGAGGAGGAGGACGACAAGGAAGAGGAGGAGGAGGAGGAGGAGGAGGAGGAGGAGGAGGAAGATGAGGAGGAGGAGAGGGAGGAGCAGCAGGAGGAGGAGGAGAAGGAGGAGGAGGAGGAGCAGCAGGAGGTCGAGGAGGAGGAGGAGGAGGAGGAGGAGGGGGAGGAGGAGGAGGAGGAGGAGGAAGAGGAGAATGAGGAGGAGGAGGAGGAGGAGGAGGAGGAGGAGGAGGAGGAGGGAGAGGGAGGAGGAGAGGAAGGAGGAGGAGGAGGAGGAGGAGGAGCAGCAGCAGCAGCAGCAGGAGGAGGAGGAGGAGCAAGAGGAGGTCGAGGAGGCGGCGCAGCCTCAGGTTCCTGGGGCTCTCCGCCCTCGCGCTCGGCCCCGAGGGCGCGGTGCGGCCCTTCTCGGTGGCGTCCCTGGCGTCGGAGGTGCCGGGCACCGGCCTCCACCCGCACTCGGCCGACCTGGTCTTCGTCGTTGTCGTCGTCGTCGTCGTCGTCGACGTCGTCGTTGTCGTCGCTTTCATGCTTTGCGTCCTGTCGTTTTCGTCGTCCTTGTCGCTCTCGTCGTCGTCGTCGTCGTCGTCCTCGTCGTCTATGTCGTCGTCGTCCTCGTCGTTTTCGTCGTCGTCGTCGTCGTCGACGTCCTCCTCGTCGTGGGTTTCACCTTCGTCATCGCCGTCGTTTTCGTCGCCGTCGTTCACGTCCTCGTCGTTGTCGCCTTGAATTTCGTCGTCGACGTCGACGACGTCGTCGTCGTCGCACGCGCCCGACCTGCTTCTCGTCGTCCTCGTCGTCGTGTTCCTGCCGCTGCTGCCGTGGGAAGGTTTGTCCCAAGTGTCGTTGCCACAGTCTCCTCCTCATCCTCCTCCTTCTCCTCCTCCTCTTCCTCTTCCTCCTCCCCCTCCAAATCCTCCTCCTCCGCCTCTTCCTCCTCTTCCTTTTCCTCCTCAGTGGCCAGAACTAGCGTGGTGTTGTCCCCATCCCGTCAGCTGTGGGGCTGCGCTCAGCTCGACCATGGTCCCTTTCTGCTGGAGGACCCCCTCGTATTTCTTATTCGAAATCTGGGCTTGACGCTCGAGGATTGAGAATCGAGGATTGAGGATCGAGGATCGAGAATCGAGGCTCGAGGCTCGACGATCGAGGATCGAGGTTGCTTTTGTTTTTGCAACTTAGGATCCTCTGAAGGTTTTCCCGTTGCCACTCCTGGGTTCCCTCCGATATAGTCGCAGCTCACCCAAGGAGAGGTCCAGGGGGCGATTTTTGCAGCAGGGCCTCAGAGCGCCCTCGATCCTCGAGGATCAGATCAGGTCGACGTCTTTGTTTTTTATCTGGCCCCCCAGCCAGTGGCCTCTGGAGGTCCTCCCTCCCCAGACTTCTAGCGGTGCGCGAGAAGCACTACCCGTATCATTCTTGGCGTGAACTCCGTATCATTTCTCGCCTTTCCTGGCCTCGTGGCCTGTCCTCTTGTCGTCCTCGTCGTCGTCGTCACGTCTTCCTCCTCCACACGGTCTCGCCGACTTGCCTTGCTGTGCCGGCCTCGGTGCGACGCTGTAGCATCGAGGGATCCCCTTCCCATCAGTTGGGAAGTTGGCGAGCAGGTGGAGCCTCCCCTCACAGGACGCACCGTCGCAGACAGTCGCACCAAGCCGCGCGGAGGAAGGCAGTCGACGAGTAGATCGATGGCGAGGCGTGTCCATGTTTTCCCCGCTGTCGCCCGTAGGCGATGTGAGGCGAGGTGGTTACTCCACAGTGATCCGTAGTAGCCGGCAAGGAGCAAACAGAAAAAAGTGGGCGGGTTCGCCTTGGCGCACCCAACAGACGATCCGCGGAAAAAAAGTGTCCTGAGGACGGGTTCAGGAGCTCCTGCAGGGGCCCACGTCGTGACAAAGTCGCGGTCCCAAGTCTAGGCTCGACGAAATAATCCGCCCCTCCCCACAACCTCCGCCCCGGCGTCCGCCCCCCTCGACGTCGACGCTGCCAGCTGTCGTCCACGTCCGCGCGTCGACCGCCCGGCCTTGCGCGCCGGTCTCCCTTGACGTGTGGGGGCTGCTTCTCATTTTGTTGCCCCCTCCCCCCTGGGCGCGACTCGGGGCTACTTTTAAGTTGGGCACGGACCTAAGCCTACTAGGATGGGCGCGGGGGGAGCTAAGTGGATAGGGGTGTATGAGCGGATACAAAGGTTGTCATATTTGGCCCATCCTCGCTTCTAGGCAGGTTACAAGTGTACTGTGTGTATATATATACATATATATATATATGTGTATATATATATAGATATGTATAGCGAAGGGGGTTGAGATGTCTTGGCCGAGTGGGCCTCGCCCAATTGGCGTAGTTCTATAGGCAACCCTCCAATAAGCCTCTCATGGGGCACTTGTTGCCCACTTGTAAGCCAGGTTGGGCCGCTAGCCAGGGAAGGGAGGCCGGATCAGTCCCAGCTTGTGCCTGTTCTCCTCCTCCTCCTCCTCCTCCTCCTCCTCCTCTTTCTCCTTCTCCTCCTCCTCGTCCTCCTCCTCATCCTCCTCCTCCTCCTCGTCCTCCTCCTCCTCCTCCTTCTCCTCCTTCTCCTGCGCGTACCCCTGTGGTGGGCGATTTGCGATGGCGGACTTGCCCACGCCCAGTTGGGCGCTCGGTTTTGCCTCGTGCGCGTCTGCGGCATCTTCCGCTCGAGATCTGGGCGACGGCGGCATCGACGACGGGGCTCAGGGGCAACGCTAGGGGGGGCTACTCTGGATTTTTTTGTGTGATCAAGGGAGGTTTAACCTTCTGACTGAGCCTGCCCAACCCCGCCCCCCTCCATCCTCCTCCCGCTCCTCGTCCTCCTCTTCCTCCAACCCCCCCTCCACTCGTTCCGACAACACGTGCCCAACCCCCCCAGCGGAACCAAGGAGGGGTGGGGGGCGATTACTGCCCCATCCAGGGTAGGCTCGGGGGGGGGGATGCACCGGGCCTGAGCTGGTTTCGCCGGCGCTGGTTTCGCCCCGTTGGTTTCGCCGACGGCTGGTTTCGCCAGCGCTGGTTTCGCTGGCGCTGGTTTGACCCCGCTGGTTTTGCCCCGCTGGTTTCGCTGGCGCTGGTTTCGCCGGCGCTGGTTTCGTTGGCGCTGGTTTCGCTGACTCGAGCCCTAACGGGCAGGTCGGGTCGGGCGGGCGGACCCTAGCGGGCGGGTCGGGTCGGGTCGGGCGGGCGGACCTTAACACGAGGGTCGGGTCGGGCGGGCGGGACATCAAAGTGTGCGGCGCGCTCGACCGGGCACGCGCGAACCCTGACGGGCGGGTCGGGCCGGGCGGGCGGACGTTGTAGCGGGCGGGTCGGGTCGGGCAGTTTCGCCGACGGCGGCTGGTTTCGCCGACGGCAGCTGGTTTCGCCGACGGCAGCTGGTTTCGCCGACGGAGCTGGCTTCGCGCCGACGGAGCTGGCTTCGCCGGGCGGCGAAACCAGCCGGGCGAAGCCAGCCGTCGGCGGAACCGGCCGTCGGCGAAAGCAGCGGTCGCCATGCACGGACCCCTCCGTCGCCCATCGATCATGGACAGGGGGCCCAGTCGCCCACCCCGCCCAGGACCGTGCGGGCTCTCGCCATCGAGGGCCTGCCGCCAGTCTTTCTCTGTCGGCAATGCATCGACGCGGTCGATTCCCCCCCCCTCCGGCCCCCTCCCAAAGCTCATGGCTCGGCTCTCTGGCGGCCGTTGGGGACGATCTGGGCCCCCTCGGGGCGCTCTCGGCGAGGCGCAGCCGCTGGAACGCTCTCGGCGTAGATTACGCCCTCTCCAGCACACAGTTGTTTTTGTTATGTTTGTTCGTCGGTGCCGAGGCAGAGGCAGCCCGCACAAGCGTGTGGCTATACGGGGCCACCGCAAGGCTAACTGGCCGGCGTGCAGGAGGGAGAGGTGTGGGGGGGGGAACCCAGACATGCGACGTCCGGTTTTTCTCAGGACGGCGTCCCTGGAAGTCCCGACCCTTTCCCCGGGACCGGCTTTTCGCCCTGAGTCGTTTCCTGGCGGTCCCGAGGCCCCCCGGCGAGGGCCCCCAAGGGCTGAAAATGGCCCCAAGACTTATGTCGGGCGTGTCCCCCTACAGAGGGATTTTCCACGACATATGAAAATTATCCCGGCAAAACAACCTAACAGCGATGTGTATAAGCATATCTGGAAGCATTTCCCTTAAGATTCAGGTGAGAATCCAGTTGAAGAATTCTGCTGTTCTCGCAGTCGCAGTCGCATTCGCAATGACAGTCGCAGTGGCAACGGCCTTAGGATCCAATGGAATCCTAAGGATTCCTAAGGCATCCTTAGGAATCCTTAGGAATCCTTAGGAATCCTTAGCCTCAGCCTCATCAGCCTCAGCCTCGGCCTCAGCCTCAGTCTCAGCCTCAGCCTCAGCCTGCCTCAGCCTGCCTCAGCCTCCTGAGCCTGCCTCGGCCTCGGCCTCAGCCTGCCTCAGCCTCAGCCTGCCTCAGCCTCAGCCTGCCTCAGCCTCAGCCTCAGCCTGCCCCAGCCTCAGCCTGCCTCAGCCTCAGCCTCAGCCTCAGCCTCAGCCTGCCTCGGTTTGCCTCGGCCTCAGCCTCAGCCTGCCTCGGCCTCAGCCTCAGCCTGCATCAGCCTCAGCTTCAGCCTGCCTCAGCCGCAGCTTGCCTCAGCCTCAGCCTCAGCCACAGCCTCAGCCTCAGCCTGCCTCAGCTTCAGCCTCAGCCTCAGCCTGCCTCGCCTCAGCCTCAGCCTCAGCCTGCCTCGGCCTCAGCCTCAGCCTCAGCCTGCCTCAGCCTCAGCGTCAGCCTCTCAGCCTCAGCCTGCATCAGCCTCAGCCTCAGCCTCAGCCTCAGCCACAGCCACAGCCTCAGCCGCAGCTTGCCGCAGCCACTGCCTCAGCCTCAGCCTCAGCCTCAGCCTGCCTCGGCTCGCCTCAGCCTCATCCTCAGCCTGCCTCGGCCTCAGCCTCAGCCTGTCTCAGCCTCAGCGTCAGCCTCTCAGCCTTAGCCTGCATCAGCCTCAGCCTCAGCCTCAGCCTCAGCCTGCCTCAGCCTCAGTCTCAGCCTGCCTCAGCCTCAGCCTGCCTCAGCCTGCCTCAGCCTCCTGAGCCTGCCTCGGCCTCAGCCTCAGCCTGCCTCAGCCTCAGCCTGCCTCAGCCTCAGCCTCAGCCTGTCTCAGCCTCAGCCTCAGCCTCAGCCTCAGCCTCAGCCTCAGCCTCAGCCTGCCTCGGTTTGCCTCGGCCTCAGCCTCAGCCTGCCTCGGCCTCAGCCTCATCCTCAGCCTGCCTCAGCCTCAGCTTCAGCCTGCCTCAGCTTCAGCCTCAGCCTCAGCCTGCCTCGGCTTGCCTCAGCCTCAGCCTCAGCCTGCCTCGTCCTCAGCCTCAGCCTCAGCCTGCCTCAGCCTCAGCGTCAGCCTCTCAGCCTCAGCCTGCATCAGCCTCAGCCTCAGCCTCGCCCTGCCTCAGCCTGCCTCAGCCTCAGTCTCAGCCTGTGCCTCAGC